GTTTGAATTGATTAACGAGGATTAGGCCCTGATTTTATCTCTCAGCCACTTGTACTCGCTTTTCACCGCATCCCAAATAGTCTTCCAGATTGTTACAGTGAGGTGAAGAAGTTGGCATGTGGAGTGCTGACTATCTTCGGATCGACATATTCGTGTGAGCAAGCCTTTGCATGAATATAATTAAAAGTAAAGCAAGAAGCCAACTAACAAATGAAAATGAGTTGTGTTTGACACTTAAAACAACAAGTTATGAGCCAAATTTTACCAAACTTTCTAAAACCATGCAAAGCCAACACTTCCATTGAATTTGTTTGCTTAAATGTATGTTGTTATTCTTTTTTTTTTAGTTTTAACTACAAGTTACATTGTTTAGTAAAGTTTAAATTTTCTACTTGAATAACCATGCAATGTCATTGCTCCCATGGAATTTGTTTGCTCAATTGTTTGTTATTGAAGTACCAGTTAGTGTTGTATATAAATAGATATTCTTTTTATGAATTTTGATTATTGCAGCTACTGTTGTTGGCAGTAATCGATTTCTTTCTTTTGACCACTGTGAATTTATGAGGGAAAAGACTCTGGACATTAGCATTATGACCCGGTATACTAAATACATATTCAAACACTTTCCGTAGTTCTGCATACTGTTCCTCAGAAATGCATTGCTTGAAATATGTATGTTCATAAATAAATAATTGTTGTATGCAGACTTTTTTCCGTCAATGTTTTATATTGTTTTGAGTTTTGCATTCGCTTTTTCTAATGTCTGTTAGCTTTGTATTAAGTCAAAAAAATCTTTAATAAACGTTTATTGTTGATATTTGTGGATTTGTAGCCCTAAAATCTATTAAAAAGAAAATTTATAGCCTTTTGTATGTAGACGTTTTTTCCGCCATTGTATTTTGTATTTATTGTTTCAACGAGTATATTGTTAGTTTCTTTCATAAGTATCTAGCCATCATTAATTTACTTATCAGATATATTGAAAAAACATAAAAAAATAAGAAAATGATGTAACTTACAATGCCTTTGCTCTTTTTAAAACATCCAATAGTGTAGCAACCCCTTTGTGGCCAAATTCTCTAGACCACTGTAAGGGATAGTTTGTTAGAGCTATTTTTAAAGAAGCTAAACAACCCAGTATTATATCTGGATTCTGCGAATCAACTTGAAAACATTGTTCCAGATAGTAAATATAATCATTTGGACCTTTAAATTCATGATTTTCTTTAATTTTATCAAAGACTTTGTTGCGTAACTGAAGCATCCTGTCTTTGTAGTCGATAGAGGAATTTATTAGAAGATTTTTTTTATTTTTGTCCAAATTCATGTCGCACTAAAAATAACAAGTCAAGGTTACATAAAAGATCTTTATTTTAAAAATTAGACGGAGAACTGCTTTTTTTTATATTATATATAGGAACAATAAATTATTGGAATTAGCGAAGTAAACATATTAATTCCATTAATTTTTTGTAGTGTTCGAAAAATAAAACGTTTCAATAATAACAACAAAAACCAAGAAATATCTTCATACATGATAGGTATATATATTGTAATGTTCGTGGGTTTAACAAATTAACTTTTAAGACTCACAACGACAAAAACTATTTATTTCCACTAATTATTACTAAAGGACTTAAAAACACTATTAAATTATTACTAACTTAGGTAATTATTCTATTTATTTACACTACTGTTACTATTCACTGTTCTATTTATTTCACTTCTATCACTGTCAATTTATTTCTTGATTCATTTCTGCGAC